CATGGATAGTAATTAATTTTTTGTTTATTAAATAAAAATAAATAGTGCTTTCTTAATCATTGTTTTTTCAACACATTCGAAGGAAGAATGAAATAACTCGCGTTAAAATGTAATAATAGATAACATTTTCTTAGTACATTTATTGTTTAAAGACGTGAAAGAAAAACAAAGTGAGTTACACATCTATGAATGAAATGCTCATGATATCGAGGTATTACATGCTTCATTCTCATGCTGAATGAGTATTTCTATATACTTGTATAGATACAATCCCTTTTATGAAAACTTATATTCTCACGTGTCTAACAGGGCGGTCAATCTTTTGTCTCACGTATCCCACGGTGAGCTTCTTATTACCCATGCTCTTATAATTAATCCATTCTTATACGGATTCTACTCTTTTACATCCGACACTTGCAAAAATTAAGTTCAACGAACCAAATCGAGAAATTCCAGAATCGTAAACGGGTTTATTTGTATTTTAATTACTTAATACATATTGTGAATATGTTATTACCACAAATGACTCATTATTATTATTTATTTTAATATCTCTTTAATTTATTTTTATTTAATCATCGAAAAAAATCTTAATGACATTCAGCATTTATTTTCTCAATTATACTTTAGTATCGACAAATAATCAACATTTTTAATGACAACAATTTAATTCATATTATAATAATATTCATGAAATTTAGAGTAATAGCTGTTTAATTATTCTCAGTTACTATTAAACAATAAAACTTAATGAAACATTGGAAATAAATAATTAAATAGAAAAATACATATAATGTGTAGTAATTAGTAATTTTAAATAAATAAATGAAAATTGAAAAGAAATAGAAACAAATAATTATACTGCGTGACACGGCGATATCTTGAAGTTATTATATTGCAAACAGTCATTAAAAAATAATCATGATAATTTTATAACTTCAAATGTTTATGATATTTAAATTGATTCTGTTATACTTATATGACACTGATGGTGACAATAAGTTCCAGAATTTTTTAATTACATTGTTAATAGCTGAATAAATTAGAACATGATTACAAACAGCTATCATCAACTATTATTAATTCAGGTTAGAGAAGCGCAAACTTGAAAATATTTAACCAATTAAATTCCTTCAAGTCTTAATTACTCAAAACTTCATGAAGGTATGTTGAGAAAATAGGATAATAATTTTTTTGGAAAGTGATGATTATCCTTGAAATTCCTATCACCAGGTGGTGAGTGTATCGTGTCGACTGAATAACAGAGACTCGTTTAGAATACGAAGATACTTTGCGGAAGAATACAAGTCGTACAAGGAGTGGGTGCAACTTAAACGAGTGGCTCGTCCGTACATTCCATACTACAGATTCTTTCTTGTTGAATCTCTCAGTCTTGTAGTACTTGTTTACTTTTATTTCTTGTCAGTTCAGATCGTGACCAGTTTCTCCTTGAACTCTCATCAAAAATACATGTTTTCACGAAAAAATCCGTTGACATCTGATTGAGATTTTCCCATTTTTACACTCAAAATATTCATTTGGATTATTTTCAAATAGAATGACGGATATTACTTTTAACATTAATACGTGAAGACCTGGTGATTGCTCATGACTCACTAAAGAACTTCCTTTGAAATCTAAGACTTACGTAAAGCTTAGAGAGTTAAGTTCAAATTTCATGTGTAATCTTTTTAACAATTTTACGACAAAAGTCTCTAATCTAGGTCAATTGCTTTGAAGATTAAGAAACACGAATAATATCTAATGTATCATTTATGACTTTGTTATATTTTTTTATCGTTAAAATAAATATTATATTTTAATTCTAAATACTATTTGTAAGAAAAATTAATATTTCTATAAAGTTTTTTATTTTTTTATGTTTTAACCTTCTCTCGGAAGTGACGAAGATGATAAGAATAAAAATAAATGATAATTGTTACTAAAATGAGAAATAAAAATTAAAAAAGAGACATTTTATTGTTATCAATTGCAGGAAAAATATATACTTTTAAACATATATTATTGAAGATTATTAGATGCGTGGGTGAAATGAATCACATATGATCAGTCATTGACGTGTGATTCATAAAAATTTAATTTATTCCTTTTTTTTATTCTTCACAATTAATTTAATTTTGAATGTATAATTAATTGAAAAAAAAAGTGAACAAAAGTGAGGTATTTACATGAATGTGTGACGAAGAAAAAGAAATAAAAACATGATTTAAAATGCACAAGGAAAAAGGAAATGATATAAAATCTTCTAATGGAGAGGCTAGTGACCCCTCAGCTTGAAGGGACACTAATGTCAACGTTTGGAGTAAAGTTAAACTCTAGAGTTGAGCTGCAAGGGCAGAATGAAGCGCAACAAAATGTGGACATTTACAATTAGCCTCAGGGAAGTCTCGTCGTCGCAACAGGTTTTTCTTTCCATAACTTGGCGACAATTTCTGGCTCCAAGGAATTCTCTAATAGTTTAAATGATGTACCAGTTGACGTTGTTTTTTTGACTTTTTTTTTCTCAGCTTTAAAAATATATAAATAAAAACTCTTCAGTAAATTATTGCCTTCAAATTTGCAGTCAATTCATTGAAGGATAATTATTATTAATTAACGATTCAAATAATGCTTAATACCACGTGATATCATTGATGGGGGATTATCAAACCACAAAAACCAGTCACAGCTGCAGCTATCATGCTGCAGTTTCATTGAAATTGATCTTTTGCTACCTTGAAATAACATATGTATGCTACTTATTTGGACAAAAAATAGACAACAAAAAATGAAATAATCTCAAGATTGAAACTTGACAACGGTTGCTTTATACACAAACTGTAATATTTTCTTTACCTACTAGTGTATCGATGTGAGGATTTAATTGATGTAATGCTTCACTCTTCTATAGTAAGAAGAGTGAAGTGTTTTTTTTTTAAATAGATAATAATAAAAGAGTTCATGTTTGTTATTTAGCATATTAGCAAAGAGTAGAGCTTCAAAATCAAGGCTAACAATTGTCATCTGATGTATAATGTCCTCGTCTTGAAAGTTGTCTCCCTCCTACGTGAGAGTCAATGCATGCAGTAATATAATAACGTAGATTCGCAGACGACAAGCAATTCCAGACGTACTTGAATCTTCATGTATTGTATTATTCAGTTAACTCATATGTCATATGTCAAGTAAATGTCGATAAGTGTATACTTCGATACCCACGATTAGATAAAGATAAATAAATGGCAATATTTAAATCAACTTTTTTTTTATCAATGACATAATGATTTATCAGGTTTTTAATCAATGTCATGAAAAACTATTAATTGTGATGAATTTATATTGGGAAAATTCTTGTAAACATTTGATTCCGACGTTAACGTGGTCACGGTTTGAAAACATAAATTAAGAATGTTCTTGCATTCCATTGCGTCTGTCATCTAAGCAACCATAACGGTGACGACATGGACAATATTACTAACCAGGCCAACTATTACGCGACCAAGAAAAATAATGAAACACTTGATGCAGGTCATTTTACGTGTAATGCATGTAATTTATATCTCAATTTGTCCTTCATGCCTTCTGAACATTTCCCAATTTTTTATCTATTCTTCCTTTCATCAATCCCTTATCTTACATCGTAAAGACATACTTAATTGGTGAACACTATTAAAACATTACTATTTTTATTATCCATGGGAAATGAAGAATTCTTTCTTCGCACAAAAAACATACATGTATCTCTCTACACTACTCCATGCAGTGGATTTATTACCATATCTTCTACCTACACAAAAAAAATAATTATATTCTGCTGTAGAAAATTATACAATTAGTAAATAGAACTCACTTGAACATTAAGTGGAGTTGATAAAACAAATAGAACACTATCAGCAATATCACTACTTTCTATGACAGGTCTTCCTACATTTTGCTTCAAATCTTCAACTGGTCCAATTATTTCAGTTCTTACATATCCAGGATATATTGACTACATTTGTGAAAAATATCAAATATATTTATAAATGTTATCATTGATTATTGATTTATAAATAAATAAGTACACCTACACAGATTCGAATCTTATCTTTTGTTTCAGCAATTTCTGATCTTAAAGTATCAGCCAGAGCACGCATGGCAAATTTACTCGCAGTATACATGTTAAATTTACGATGTCTTGTTTTTATACTTTGCCCAAGTATACTAAAAAAAGATACGTTTAAACACTTAATGATAAGTTTTATATCTAAGAGTAAACCAAAAATTTAATCACCTATTAATGTTTATGATGTGACCTTCTCTTTGATGTCTACGCATAGATTTTAAAGCTTCTTTAGAACATATAGCAGGTGCGAGAGCATTAACGTTTAATACTTCACGCAGATCTTCTGTCTTAGTCTCTGAAACAACAAAAATGAATCAATCATTGTTTTATAAAATTATTTATTCGTTTAATAATTAATTACCTTCAAAAGAGGATAGTCTAATAATTCCTGCATTATTAATCAAGATGTCAACACCGTTGAAGATTTTTTCAGCATATTCAAACGCATCCAGAATATCTTTTTCATTCTGTACATCACATCGCATAAAATAAAATGAACCTTTGCAGCCTGCAAGACTTTTTGATAATTCTTTCAATCTTTCTTCACGCCTCGCAAGCCCCAAAACATTAACTCCTTCATGAACTAGAGCCTTTGAAATGGCTTCACCTATTCCAGAACTTGCACCAGTCACTATTGCAAGTTTTCCAACCCAACGATTCATACTTGTAAGCAGACGATGAACTACTGGTGTTGGTATTAATTTCAAAAGCAACTGATTCGTTACCACAATGCTGGTATTAAGTTTATATCTCTTGCTGATAAAAATAACTTCAATTATTATTTTATCTTTGTTCTTTGGATAAAATTTTTGTAACATTAATTATCGTATAAACTAAATGTCATATTTAGTACGAAGATTCGGTAAAACCAATTATAATAATAAAATAAATATTGTTTAGTTTTGATGAGTATTTATTTTTAGCAAATAATTCATATAAAAGTAAAAGAAAAAAACGAGGTTTTTAGAATCCACTGATAGCTAAATCTTCAATCTAGAAAAAAAATATAGAAGTTAAATATTTCATTAATGGAAAACATTGATTTTTAATTAATGGATCACAACATTAGTATTGGAAAAATTAAATACCTGAACGTGAGGAGGTGCTGAAAGAGCATAAATGACAGCATTTGCTATATCTTCACTCCGTAAAACTTCAGGCATAATACTATTGAGTATAGTTGGGTCAACTCCAGAGCTAGTATTAATCTCTGTTTTGACGGCACCAGGATAAATTGTCTACAAAATGAAAAAATTTATTGTGATTTATTGAGTATAATTTTTATCTACAAGTCTTAAATTTAAAAATAATTATTACAGTCAATCGTATCTTATCTTTAGCTTTTGCAATTTCTGCTCTAACATTCTGAGCTATTGCCCGTAAACCAAATTTAGTTGCTGGATAAATGTTGATTGGTAGTGGATCTATTATTGTGGCATTAAGACCGGCAAGGCTACAAAAAATTTTACAAATTCAATATTTGTGCGTAATAATATGGTTAATTATTATTATATATACTTACCTATTAATATTTATGATATGTCCTTCTCTTTTGTGTTTGCGTAATGATTTCAAGGCTTCTCTGATGCATATTACAGGTGCAATCAGATTTATATCTGTGACGGCATGAATCTCATCCGTCTTCAAAGCTAAACAAAATATCATATTCAGTAAATAAATAGTTAATCAAATAGTTAAATGTACTAAAGTTAAATCTTACCATCGAATAGAGCAGCTTTGACAATTCCTGCATTGTTAATTAAAATATTAACACCACCAAGTTTTTCATCAGCATATTTGAATGCATTCAAAATATCTTTTTCATTACGTACATCACATTTCATATAATAAAATGATCCCCTACACCCAGTAAGACTATTTTGCAGTTTCTTAAGCTTTTCTTCTCCTCGTGCAAGTCCAAGAACGTTTACGCCTGCTATAACTAGAGCTTTCGCAGTAGCTTCACCAATTCCAGCACTTGCTCCAGTTACAATTGCAAGTTTTCCAGCCCAACGATCCATTCTTGTTAACAATGAATAGAATACTGATGGTTTAACTGACCTATGAAATGTATGACTTGTAATTCTGTGTGCATTTTATAGTGGCAACGATTCCTCCTACTCCTATAAATATACTTTTTATTCATTTTACTCAACCTTCAGAAATAATTTGCTTGACGTTCTTGCTCTTATATAAAAGAAAAAATAATAAATTAAATATTACAGCTGAGAAGTTGATAAGTGGCATTATTATTGTCATTATTGCAAATGCATTAATGATTTTAAATGCAATTGCAAATACTTGATGTCATCTTACGTTTTACTACACTATTAAATTATATTTTAAATAATTGAAAAAAAACTAAATTTACGTATTATATTTGTTTATTATTTAAAATCATTTATATATTTGGGAAAAAACATAATCAATTGATCCAGCAAGTTCACTTATTTGTATTGAATCCAGTAACAACTAAATCTTCGATCTAAAAAATAATAAACGTTGAAGTATAATTTATTTCAACAAAAATAATGATCAAAATTTTACCTGAACATGAGGTGGTGTCCCAAGTATATATAGCAGAAGATTAGAGACATCAGTACCCTCTATGCCTGCCATTGTTTTGGTAACCACGTCTGGATCAAATTGAGGCTTTTTTTCTTTCAGCGCTGTATTTACTAGACCACAGTAGATTGACTAAAAAATCACTCATATTAATGATTGTACAATGATATTTTTTACTAGTAGAATTTTATACATACTGTCACTCGTATCTGATCTTTGGCTTTTGCAATATCCACTCTAAGATTATCGGCCACTGCACGCAGAGCAAATTTACTTGGTGGAGAGAGGTTTAGTGGTAAAGGTACGGCTTTAGCATTAATACCAGAAATGCTAAATATTATGATAATTAATTTCAAATTGATAGTAAAAAAATACAAAAATAAAATTCAATTACCTATTGATGTTGATAATATGACCTTCTTTGTTATGCTTACGGATAGATTTGATAGTTTCTCTGATGCATATCACAGATCCAATCAGATTGACTTCCATTATTTCATGCATATCTTCTGTCGAGAGTACTAGAAAACGAATTGAGAAGTGATGGGTAGATTTGAAAATTGAAAAATAATTCGTAACGAGAATCTATTTTTTTACCATCATATGTTGCAACTTTAAATACACCGGCATTATTAATTAAAATATCAACACCACCAAATTGATCTTCAGCGTATTTGAAAGCACTTAATATTTCTTTTTCATTACGTATATCACATTTCATATAATGAAAAGATCCTTTAGTTCCAATAAAATTTTTTTGTAACATTTTGAGCTTTTCGTCATTTCGAGCGAGCCCCAATACATTGATACCGTCTTGAATTAAGGATTGTGAAATAATTTTACCAATTCCAGAGCTTGCTCCAGTTACTATTGCAAGTTTTCCAACCCAACGATTCATATTTTTTAACAGTTAGTAGAATAGTATACGTTCAACTAATTTAAGGATAGCTAGATTACTCCTATAAATATTTTTTTTGTTATCTTTATCCTTGACAAATAATACGTTTCAAATGCTTATATCGAAATGATGGACGTGGATACCATTTTTAACTTGAAAATTTTAAATCATTATTCATAGAATTTCCGTATAATCTATAAAAATTCTGAAATAAATGTACCAGTTTCGTTATTTGAAAAATTATCTAGAAGTTTTTTTATTAAATCATAATCAGAAATAGACAATTAAATATTATTCCATGGTCTCTTGATGATTTTCTTGTTAATAAAAACATAATTATATAAGTATTTAATTGATTATACTTTTTTTTTGCTTACTTACTTAATCACATTGAATATTGATGGACTCATTATTTAATCAATTACCCGGTGAAACAAGAAGCTTGTTTGAATACTTATCTTTTATTTTCATTATTCATCTTAATTAATTTAATTATTCATAATGAAATATTTCTTTGTATTTTTATTATAAAACCATTTTTTTTAATTTAAAAAAACTTTCAATAAATTCAGTTATAAAATAGCTTTTATTCATTATAATTTATTCAACAAATTTTTTAGTAACATTATGGTTATTGATGATTCCATTTATTTAGATAACTTTATTCTTTGTTATGAACTGCAGTAATTACCAAATCATCCACCTAATATAGAATCAATAAATGTTCATAAATTAACTTAGACATAATATTATATATAAAATAAAATAAAAATAAATTTACTTGAACATGAGGTGGTGCTCCAAGTGCGTACATTACACCATTTGCGATATCTTCACTTACTAAGGCTGGCATCAGATTGAAAATAGCTTCTGTATCAAGACCAGAAAGTTCTATTATCTCTGTATTCACCAAACCAGGATAGATTGTCTAAAAAAGCTCATATCAATTATTGTATAGTGTTTTTGTTGTTCATCATTCATAGAATTATATACATACTGTCAATCGTATTTTATCTTTATTTTGCTTAATCTCCATCTTCAATGAATCAGCCATAGCACGCATAGCAAATTTACTTGCTGGATAAATATTGATAGGTATTGATGCTATTTTAGCATCAAGTCCAGCAATACTAAATGAATATCCAATAGATAAAACAAAAAACTCGATAATAGAAAAAAATTAATTTAGTATATTTTTCAATCATCACTTATCTACCTGTTAATATTGAAAATGTGACCTTCTTTTTTACTTTTGCGTAAAGATTTTAGAGCCTCTCTAATGCATGTTACAGCAGCAATCAGATTTACATCCATTACCGCCCGTAAATCTTCTATCTTAGTTTCTGGAAAAAATATTTAAGATAATGAGTCCAAATAGTGTAATTTATCACATCATCAAAAATCAACCCAAAAAGAGAGAAGATACTTTTATCATTATTCATCATTACCTTGAAATGGAGCAGCTTTAAGGATGCCTGCATTATTGATCAAAATATCAACGCCACCAAGTTTTTTTTCAGCATAGTCAAATGCATTTACTATGTCTGCTTCATTTTGTACGTCACATTTAGCAAAATAAAACAATCCCTTACAACCAGATAACTCTTTTTTTAAACTTTCAAGTCTATCTTCACGTCTCGCAAGTCCTAAAACGTTTACTCCACTTCGAACTAATGATTTACAAATGGCTTCGCCGATTCCAGAGCTAGCACCAGTAACTATTGCAAGTTTTCCAATCCAACGATCCATCTTTCTTGATGATGTACAAAATACTGTAAGCAAAATCAATGTTCTTCAGATGATGATTTATAAAGTGAACAACTGTTATGTAACTTTAATAAGAGTTTTATGTTTGTTACTTCATAGCACTTTAATAATACTACGTGATAGATAATCAATGAGTATGTAATGACATATACTTCCGCTTAAATTTGCTTTATCACGATGATATTGACTTTAATAATTTTTAATTAAATAGAAAAATGACTGATAATTTTTTATACTGTCAATTAATCGAACGCTCGAAATTCAGTTAATTGGTAATCAACGGTCATAATATATATCAAAAAAGAGATAGTACAGTAAAACCTCTAATATTTTGAACCTTCATCCAATCAAACACCCCAGAAATCCCTCACTCTTTTTTCCATATACTTTGTATTAGACGTTTTCGCACCAACCTCTCTGATTTTGAGGAATTCTGAGAAACCATAGCCCCGAATTCCCAAAATGTTAGAGGTTTCACTGTATTCACAGTATATACATAAATAAAGTAATACCAAGTGTGATCTCACTGTTACAATGAACGGATGGAGAATGATCTAGGAAATTGATGCAGTGATGGTTAAGTTGACATTGCACATGTTTAATATGTTTCAAGGATAAAATGTACAGAAGTTACAGATAAAAAAATATGTAAAATCATATAAAAGTTTAGAAAATTAATATAATAGATTTATTAATGTAAAGTAATTAAAAATTATTTATAAATTAATTTTTATACTTATGGTGTTACAACACATAAAATATCTATTGTGCAAAGTCTTTTATCTTAGAGATGTGAGAACAAATCTAAAGGAAAAATCGTGGGACTGTCTGGAAGTAACGGTTTAAAATACTTTTATTACTGAAATGAAATAATAACCATCTATTCTTGAATGTTCTTATTTGTTAATGATACTGTCATTGACTCTGATGGATTTTTTTACACAAGAAGCGAATTTATTTTTGGAACTTTTTTAGCAAAATATCTGTTATTGATTCATCATTTAAAGTCATGAATGAAGAAGTAATAAAATGAAGAGTGAGACTGCAAAATGAACAGGAAGGAAGCCTGTCAGACTACGTCAGGATACCGTCGAGAAGGAAATTGGATTGATTGTGTGAAGGTCGAACAGTACAAAATAAATGATCACTTAAAGACCTTGAGCAATATTCTCATTTTCTAATACAGGAAGTCTTTGAAATGCTTCTAAAATTTTAAATGTTCAACTCTAATATGTAACATACGAAATTAGTTCATGGAAAAATGAACTATAAAATGATCGTTTTGTAAAAATTTTTTATCTGTCTAATCGATTTGATAACAACGATAAGCGAAGTATCGTAGTTTTTACTCATCACTCGTTACACATTACGTAGACTCTTAAATAAAATTACTATATTTTATCATTGAAAATTATTTAAATTTTACTCTATTACCTGTGTAAATAATTTAATATTATTTTTATCAATATGGACATTCTTTTTATAAAAAGATTCGATATTGTTGAAGAATATTTTCAAGATTTTCGAGAATTATTTCGATTAGTGAGTAATTTCTGTTTCAGTTTCAGGTATTTCTCTAAAAATATTTATTATTATTATTTCTTTTTTTTTTGAACATTTTGTGAGAACATTATTTAGTCATTAATATTTATAAACGAATAAATATTGTTTTCTTCAATGTTAAGGAATATTTTTAGCTGTGTTATTAAGTTAGTAAAATATGACAAATAAATTGATGATATTGATGGAACATATTTGTTCATGATTGATGTTTAGTCAGTTGCCAGAAGAATAATTGAAGTAATGACTTTTGAGATATTCATTTGATAAACGATATGCTGATGAAAACTCATCACCTGATAAATATCATTTATATCTAGTATATTAACTTTAAACAAAATCTTTTATGGATTAATCGATGAAATACTTACATGGAATTTGTTTTTGTTTAGATTGACGAAAATGGTGATGGATTCATTGACCTCACGGAGTTGCGTAGTGCTTTGGACGTGTGCGGATTTAAAATGCCGGGTTACAAAGTTCGTCAGATGATTGAAGAATATGACGACAAACAACAGTTTCAACACAAAGGTCGTTTGTCCTTCGAAGAGTTTGAGAAGCTTTGCAGAGAACTCAAGGCCAACGAGCTTGGATCTACATTCAAGCAGGTTGTATCAAAGAAAGAAAATCTTGAGACTCTTGGTGGAATATCAGAAGCATCTAGTGAGGGTACAACACACTCAGTAAGACTTGAAGAACAATTGGCTTTTAGTGATTGGATTAATACAAATCTTGGCCATGATCCTGATCTCAAACATTTATTGCCAATTGATCCAGAGGGCAGACTGCTTTATGATAAAGTCGAAGATGGAATTTTACTCTGGTAAATATTTTTTTCTAACAAATTTATGTAATAAATTATTATATTTTTTTATAATTTTAATAACTTTTGGTTATATTTTAGCAAAATTATCAACCATTCTTGTCCAGACACCATCGATGAACGAACAATAAATAAAAAAAATCTTACTCTTTACAAAAAGCATGAGAATTTAACTCTAGCTCTTACATCAGCCCAAGCAATCGGTTGTAACATAGTAAATATTGATGCTCATGACTTAACAAAAGGCTCTCCACATCTGGTTCTCGGTCTCCTTTGGCAAATTATTAGAATTGGATTGTTTAATCAAATTACTCTTGAAAATTGTCCAGGCCTTGCAACTTTACTCCAACATGGTGAAAAGATTGAAGATCTTTTGAAATTATCACCAGAAGCTATTCTTCTTCGATGGGTCAATCATCATTTAGAAAATGCTGGAATTGTTCGAAGATGTACTAATTTCCAATCAGATATTACAGATTCAGAAATTTATTCACATTTGATTAAACAAATTGCTCCAAACTCAGCTGGAGTGACTTTAGAAGCTCTGATGGAACCAAATCATGTTACCAGGGCAGAAATTATGCTTCAACAAGCTGGAAAACTCGGTTGTCGAAGTTTCGTAACGCCCAGTGATGTTGTCAATGGAATTTATAAACTTAATCTTGCCTTTGTTGCAAATATGTTTAACAATTATCCTGGATTAGATAAACCAGCCGAAAATATTGAAGGTTTGGGATCTTTAGAAGAAACTAGAGAAGAAAAAACCTACAGAAATTGGATGAATTCTATGGGGGTGTCTCCATATGTCAATTGGTTGTATTCTGATCTGGCTGATGGTCTTGTTATTTTCCAACTTTATGACATTATCAAACCAGGAACTGTCAAGTGGCCTAAAGTTCATAGAAAATTTTCCAAACTCCGTAAATTTATGGAAAAATTGGAAAATTGCAATTATGCAGTAGAATTAGGAAAGCAAATGAACTTTTCGTTGGTAGGAATAGCTGGACAAGATATTAATGATGGAAATGCTACTTTGACTTTGGCTCTAATTTGGCAGTTAATGAGATCTTATACGCTTTCGTTGTTATCCAGTATTGCAGGAACACCAGGTAGTCCAGTTGTTGAAAAAGAAATTGTCCAGTGGGTAAATTCAAAACTTCAAGCAGCTGGAAAGAGTAGTAGTATTAAAAGTTTTCAAGATTTTGCAATAGCTGATGGTCGACCCGTTATAGACCTCATTGATGCTATCAAACCTGGAGTTGTAAATTATGAACTTGTTAAAGTTGGTGGAACTGAAGAGGTAAATATTATTCAATCGATGAATTTTTTAAACTGTTTTGTTCATTGTTCTGAATTAATATATTTCTTTCAGGATAATCTAGACAATGCAAAATATGCAATATCTTTAGCAAGAAAATGTGGAGCTCGAGTTTATGCCCTTCCTGAAGATATAACTGAAGTGAAACCCAAAATGGTAATGACCGTATTTGCCTGTCTTATGGCTATGGATTACATTCCAAATATGGATTCAAAACAAAATAATATTAACAACATCAATAATGTTAATAACGTAAATAATATGAAAAACGGGCAATAATATGGTATTAATACTGAAAAAATTTTATGATAAAATTATAATAATAATAATTATGTGATTTCAATAATTACATATAAAACAAATGGATTACTTATTAATTTAAGAATAATTTTTAATTAAATTTTTTATACGTATAGTCAAGAATATATGATAAATAATATCGATTTCAAGTGGATCATGATTTCATATTTAATGCAATAATAAATGTATATACACGTCTATTTAGTCGGTACTAATTTTAAAATAAAAAAAATTCGATTAAAAGATCCATAATAAGATTAAAAAAATTTTGTAGGGTAAAATTTTTTTGACTGATCTTTTTATACCGACTTGAAATATATAATAAAACTACCATAAAAAAAACTTTACAAGTAAACACAATCTTAAGTCGTATTTTATACATATATTATATGCCTATGATCAACGACCGTACCTTTATATGCATTGAATGCTTATTTAAGTGACAGTCTATTGATTATATGTTAATTAATATACTTTACAAACGATTTTGTATCTTTTTTCTTTCAATCGCATTCAATACCTGTTTGTATAAAAAAATTTTTTTTATTTTGTTTTTGCTGGTTTAAATAGGTAAAAATTTTTAAGAAATCCAGTAAGGCATTCCATGAAAATGATTGATGATTTATAATCGTAGATTGGTCAATATTTAAATATATTAATTAATATTATCACAAAACTATTTAATTATAATAAAGTTAATGCGCACACTAATCATATAATTTAGTAATTGTGCCATTGAAATGTAAAATGCAAAAATTTTGATAATTTTTGTCGAATGATGATTTATTTATATTTATAAGAATAAAAAAAATTAGATTAATTATTTTAATCGTTAATTAATGAATTTATGATTATTGAAATTAAACCGTCGTACTTATTTCTTGCTTTGTTATGTCTATATTATGCTGGCGCATTTTAAAATTTATTAATAAATCAACAATAAAAATGCTTTAATAATTATTAATTATCGTAATAATAATGATTATAATACGAAACATAAGAAAACTTCTCCTAAGTAATTAAAAGAAGAGACTGCGATTCAGAATATGCATAAGCAAAATACAACTAAATGCACTAAGTCAATTCCAATAAGAAATGGGATAATAATTCATTTTTATTCAACTTTGTAATTCAAAAGAAAATTTTTTAAAATTTGTCATTTAAAAGAGACGATATCGATGATTGTTTCACAAACAAACATACAAACTTTTGGAATTTCTACTTGAATATATATAAAATTGATATATTAAATATAAAAATTTTTATCAATTAAAAAAATTTTTCTCTTACCCAAATGCATAGGGGCATTTGCAATGTATTCATGCAATTTTTTTCTTACCATTTAAAGCATAATAAATTTATTAAAACTGAAGTGAGAGCATATTTTAGAAGAGTAATTTGACTTTTTAAAATTTATTATTAATTATAGGAATAATAATGAAAATTTATTTCACTGTAAAATTATTTCGTATTGATAAAAACAGAAGCTACATAAAATCAAATAGTGATTTTCATGTAATTATAATTTATACTTAATAAAAGTAACTATAAAAAATATCTTGTTTTTATATTCATCTGTCAAAAATATATAATTATAATATATAGATAGATATCTTTCTACAATTATTTAGTTTATAACATTAATAGAATAGTTAAATTTAATCTAATGTATTACTTACTATAATTATTAATGAGATTCAACTTTTGTGAACTTCATCATTCGAAAACATCGTAGTAGTACTTGGTGTTGGAATCCGTTTAAATTCTTCAGAAGCTGGCTCAATATTTTCCAAATATAAACAAATATTTTCATTTGTCGTCCCTAATTTTGTTTCATTAAGAGGAAGAATTATGGTTGCTTGCTGTTGACTCGAAGATTGAAAACTATGTGGTGCCATGAAGAATGAAGTTACTGAAGAAGTCTAAAAATAATGATAATTCTTAGAATAATTATAACATTCAAAGGAATAAATTTAGAAGAGATATTTATCATTTCTTCTTTCATAAGTGTCTAAATCATGTCAATTAGACTGCGACATCGTTTAAAGTAAATTAAAATAGTACCATTTTGATATTGAAGACTGATTCATTTTTCTTTATGTCATCAACCCCAAGAAAATAAGGAGTGATTTTTGAGCATTTCTCCATGTTCCGTGTTTTGTCCATTGCAATCATAGGATTTTTATTCCCATAAGCATACATTTCTAGATATATTTTATCTCCACATTTACTGGACCATTGCTTTCCTTTAGCTTTTATTTGTTTCGACACTTCAAAGTTTGTTTCACATTCACCTAGAGTCGAATTTTCTGTCCCTACGTCTTTAACAACGGCAAATCTTTCGCCTCCTTTTTCAAATTTATCAAATCCAAAATTTAAATGACTCGCTATTAATCTAATTATATTTAAACGCCATCCTGTAAGTGCTGGATCTATTTTGATTTCTTTTAAACCTCTTTTATCATATAGAAGCTCAAATTTGAATGCTCCTATTTCCAAATCAGATTTAGGGTCAGCTTCGATGATAGCTGATGGATTTGACGATTTGTCGACATCAAAATTTTGTAATTGAGATTCTTTAACGTAACATTGAAGACCATTGGTACGATTTTCTGAGCCAGAAACAAAAGGACGGCATTTCAAGATAATTGTCACATTAGAATACATAAATTTATCAGTTTCATTAAATTGAAATGATGAATTAACTCCAACACGAAAAGAATATTCTGGCCCATGTTTCCAATTATCTGGTGATTCTTTTAAACAATTTTCAAAACCTATTAAACCGACTGTAAAAAAATTTTTATTTAACTTTGATGTACTAATTAAAGTTGTAAATTATGTTTAAAAAATATTCTATGTTATGAAATAAAAACTTTAAATAAAATATTACTGACTTACTGACAAATGGTATAAGACTTATCACTTTCATGGTAGCAAAGATTCAACTAATGCAACAAAATAACATCTCCAACATTCATGACACTCTTTTTATATTGGTTAGTCTATTCAAGCATTATATAAATTACGAAATTGCACACTGAAAAGTTATCAGATTGATGGTCATTTCATATATAATTGAATAATGGTTATTTGAAAATTACGTTCAAAGAAAACTACAATTAATAATTAGTTGATTTTTCTTAGATTAGTTTATTGATCATTTTTAGTACCAATAAATTACAATGTATGAATAAAAATATATTTTCTATGTTCTTAATTTATTAAACTGTTAATTTATTTAATTTTTATTCCAAACTAAGAATACTGTAGCAGTACCATCATATATTTTATAGAAATATATTTGGAACATTCGTGTTTTTTAAACAAAATTTAATATTCACTTTTAAAATGTAATCAATAAACATACTATAAAGATACAAATCTAATTACAAAAAAAGTTACTTTGATTGAATTGATTATGCTTTCATTGAAGCAGTAGGAGTAATGACTAGATCTTCCAGCTGAATAAAAAACGATCACGTTAGTTTTAATGAATGACAAAGAAAATTTATTTTCTGAATTAAGACTAACATTATTACCTGTACATTAGGTGGTGCACTTAATGCAAATATGAGGCTGTCAGAAATATCTTTAGTTTCCAAGTATGGAACGAGATCAAAAATTTTATTTCCAACATTCCCTTTTTCTAATATTTCAGTTTTCACTAATCCTGGGTAGATTGACTAAAAAAATAAACAATTATTCAGGATTCATTTATCTTAGATGTGCTAATAAAAATTAATTACTGTCAGTCGGATTATATCTTTATTTTTGGCTAATTCAACTCTGAGATTTTCAGTCATTCCACGCAAAGCGAATTTACTGGCCGGATATATGTGAAGTGGTATTCCTGCTGCTGTAGCTCTAAGTCCTGCAACACTAACATTTCAACAAATTCAATACAAAATATTCAATTATAAATTTACTCTATTATTTTTTTATATACATATTTTCTAGCAAAATTCGAAGTGTAACTAAAAACTGCTTTGATATGAATTAAAGTTCCTTCTTCTATAGTATCATAAATACAATTTCATTTAAATTATCTATAGTCTGAGTTATCAGCAGATCTTCGTTCTATATCAATATATTTATAAAAAATATTTCAATAAAATGCTGATACCATATTCGTATTAAAAAATTTTATTACCTGTTAATATTGAAAATGTGCCCTTCTTTTTTATTCTTTCTCATAGATTTAATTGCTTCCCTTATACATATGGCTGGAGCAAGAACATTTACGTCTAAAACTGCTTCAAAATTCTCTGTGGTTGTATCTAAGAAAAAGATTATTAGTTAATAAAAATGGACAATCATTCAAATTTGAATATTACTGTATTTTGTTTAGTTACCTGTTATAACACCTGATGTAGCAATCCCTGCATTGTTTACTAAAATGTTAATACCCCCAAATTTATTTTCAGCTAGTGTGAAAGCATTTAAAATGTCTTTTTCCTGTCTAACATCACATTTTGCGTAATGAAATGATCCTTTCGATTTTTCCAATTTTTTCGATAATTCTTTGAGTTTATCTTCGCGTCGTGCAAGGCCCAACACATTAACTCCATTTCCAACTAAAGCTCTAGTGATTGCCTCTCCTATTCCAGAACTAACTCCAGTCACAATAGCAAGCTTTCCGACCCAACGTTCCATTTTTGCCGAAGATGTGCGAACTACTGCCAGTATATAAAGTCAACGGTCAAGTATTCATGAGATACTAATCTTATACTTTGAGTGTTTAAAAATAGCATGTTTACAAAAACAGTACTGATATTTAAATATTTAAATACATATTTTTATTATTGAACTTTGAAAAAGTTTAAAATAATATCAAAAAAATACTCCACTACATTAATTTGAAATTATTCAAATACATTTAAATGTCTAGTTCAGATTTGAAACGTTTATTAAAATATGAAATTATCAAAATTTTAGACAAAATTTATTGAAATAAAAAACATAAACATTTAATACAGTATATTTATGCAGCACTCAACAATGCAGTAGTTTCACACTTAGCTAACTAGACAATATCCATAACATAGAAGTATATTATTTCTATGTAATTATTTTACCATAATGATCAAACTTGTCCGTAAATTTAGATAAATAATCTCTTAAAGATATCTCGTCGTAATTCATGCCAAATGAAATGTTGAATGGACGATATTTAATGCCATGTTTGATAAAAATTCTATCGCTAGCTGGTTCAATATTTGTCAAAAGTAAAGTTCGTTTTATACTTATCACACCATAGTGTGGAGTATAATCATCTCTAGTTTCTATAAAAGATATAAATTCGTGTGCCGACATGATAGCTCTATGTACAAAATATCTTTTTATTGTGTCATTTATCAGATGATTCCAAATGTTACTTGGTTCTCTCCTAGTCTTCTTATAATTTAATTTCATACCATTAAAATTCCCTATTTTTTCTATAGTATATAAATCTTTATTATCAATATCATGTTCATTTTCTTTTGATTTAATTACTTTTACTGAAAAATTCCAAGATCCAAAAGTGTTCTTCTCTTGATAAGAATATAATCCATTTTCCGGTTTTATTTTATTTATCCATTGTATATTTAGTAAATCCACAGTTTGAGATAAAATTGAATAAGAATTATTCCATTGTACGTTTTCAGATACTTGATTTACCCCATCCTCTCCGAAAATAATTTCAAATGGATGACAAATATTTAACTCTTTACAATTAGCTAGTCTGTATTTTGGTTCTAGCATATTAGATTTTAAATCTTCCATTTCTTCATAGTCTTGTACTTTTGGATTTTCAATAATACAAATGAGACTTGTGGAATTTAAATTTTGGCACTTGAGTGTTGCAAAAAAATTTTTGTGATATATTGAATTTTGAGACTTATGCTCATGATTAATTGTATAATTGAAGACATACTGTGGATCATAATAAACATTCGGATCATTGAACGAATATTGTGTAACTGTAAAGGATAATGAATGATTATTTGATATATCAACAAGTTAAATAAAAGCATTAATATAAGTTATTTTATTTCATTAATGATAAAAAAAAATAGAAATGATCTTTACTCACAGAGTAAATATGGTATAAAGTATTCAATCATTGTGACATTGATAATAGTTTTGGACTTGCAATGCTAATACTCCTATATTAAAATTGTGAAGAACGTAGACTCAAAGTAGTCTCAAGGCAAACTTAGCAGGATGTTAGTTACAAGTTACTCCATATATATACCCTCTTTTATTGGACTTAATAGATTTTAATAGAATAAATAACCACTTGCTAATAATCATCCATAAATTTTCTTAATCACATAATGAAAGTTTTAATTATTAACTAAATAAATTACTAATCAAATTTGCTTCTTCATTATTCGGATGACTATCAATCACTGTTTGATTTTTTCACCACTTTTCTTTGTAATCATGATTGATAATAGGCACATTTCACTTGGCACGTTATGATTTGCATAAATATTTATAATTCATAGAAAGTAATTAACCAAAAATTAGAAAAATAAAATAATTAATATAATAAATTAAACGTAACATATACAACTAGCATATAATTTGACTATGAAATAACCAGCATAACAAGAAAAATAATTCGAATGGAAGAGCAATAAAATTCTACTGGATTAATATTTAAACAAAACGGATGTGACGTTTTTTTTAAACGGAAATAAGTGTTTCGCCATAGTAAGATTTTAGTCGCGCCATTTCATCTTTGATACTTTTTTTGTAAACGATCAAAAAAAGTTCATCCAAAAGTAACAATTAATTTATGTGAACATCAAAATATTGAAAATTCTGTATAGCTGATAAAATGTTTAATTTTTAAAATAATGTATGACTAAATAAATTAAGGCTGGGCTGAAGTCAGAAAGTTTCCCGGAGTTGACTTTACGCCCTCACGTTGTGCGGCGAAAAGCCGAAGCTCGATATCAATTGAAATTGAGTAGGTAACAGAGAAATCGTTCGAAAAATGATAATTTTCAGGGATGCACTACAAAAAGGGAGCCTTAGGGTACCAAGAAATTTACAAATTTCAGAATAATCTGTTCCGAGCAAGACAGAGCACAAAATATATCTATCTATCTCCGTCTTATTTTTCAGAGCAGACTGCGAGTTCGAACAGTTGACGAGCAAGCACATTCCCCACCCTCTGTTACTAAGCCTGAAGCTTACGATATCTAAACGTAAACAAAGCAAATGAAAATATGCTAGCTCTATAGTCAGAAGGTTCGCCAGTTATTTTACCGAACGGTGTTCGATTCCAATTGCGGCAAAATTTTTTTTTTATTTAAATTGCATGTAATTGCAATTTTATCATGCCAAAAATGAGTTTTAAATTTCAATTTTTATGTAAAATTTTTTTTTCAATTAATCAATGACAAATGAGAAAATATTTGAACAGGGCCATTAACCTTTTTTTGTACAAATACATTGATAATAGCCTTTTTTAACAACTTATTAATAATAAAAAATTGTTTAAACAATCCGCGGCGAGTTCCGATACTTCGCCGGCAAGCTCGACCCCCACTTTCTGTGCCCAAGCCTGTAGCTTATAATTTTCAAGCATCGTTTATATAATTGGAACTATAATAGCTCAGTGGTTAGAGCCCCGACCTTTTATTTTGCTGGGCAGGGTTCGATCCCAGTCATAGGCAATTTTTTTTTCTGTTTCTTGTTCAAGTGACTTTATATACTTATAAATCAATTCATATATTTTATTACATTATTCTTCCAATTAATTACGAAAAAAAACTTGTTTTTCTGAAAATAAGCTGAGGGTGAGGAACGAGTTACTATGAATTCTCTTTTTTAGAAAATGTTGTCTTTAAAAGACACTAGGAATTGATTTTGAACTTATACAAACAACCAATTATTGTATTTATATAAAATTTTGATGAAAAAAAAAATTGGCTATAACTGGGATCGAACCCTAATCGGTAAAATGAAAGCTTGGTGTTCTACTCACAGAGCTAACATATTATCTCTGACATCATGTTTATGTTTATAAATTGTATAATGCAGGCTTGAGTACGAAGGGTGGAGATAGAGTTTGCCGGCGAAGTGCCGGAAATCCCCGTGGATTATTTCAACTACTTCTAAATATTTCTAAATTGCTTAAAAAAAAGCTACGTTCATATAGCTATAGTAAAAAAGTGTTTATAACCCTGTTCATGTTTTCCGACTCGGCGTCGATAAATTACATAAATAATTGAGAAAAAAAAATCAAATCGTTGGTAAGAATTCATTTTAGCATGTTAATATTATAATTACATGCAAATCTAACAAATGAAAAAGAAAAAAAAAAACTACCATGACTGGAATCGAACCCTGCCCATCAAAATGAAAGATCGATGCGCTAACCACCGAGCTATTATGATTACAAAACATTTATATATGCTCAAAAATTATAAGCTGCAGGCTTGGGCATAGAGAGTGGGGGTAGAGCTTGCCAGCGAAGTGCCAGAACTCGCCACGGATTGTTTAAACTACTTTTCAATGTTGATAATAATATGATTAACTTGTTAATAACATAACATTGTTAATACATGTAAAGATGTATAAGTTGTTAAACACAGGCTATTATCAATGTATTCATACAAAAAGAAAGTTTATGGCTCTGTTCAAATATTTTTCGACTTAGCGTCAATAAATTCAATGAATAAACAGAAAAAAAAATCAAATTGTTATAAAAGATTAATTATAGCATGTCAATATTATAATTACATGCTAATCTAACGAATAAAGTAGAAAAAAAAAATTGGTTATGACTGGGATCGAACCCTGCCCGGCAAAATAGAACTCTGACGCCCTAACCACATGGCCAGCATGATCTCGATATTGAGTTAATGTATATTTGTTTTTACACTACATGCTTGGATACGCCGACTTGGAATTGAGCTTCCTTATTAACATTTATACCTAATAAAAATGATAATAATGGATGAGTGTATGTATTTGAAGTTATTTGCAGGTATTATATTAATTAATGTTAAATGAGTATCATCATTTTTATTTATCCTAACTGCAATAGTCATCAAAGTGTAGGGCATTGTAAAGTGATACACTATGTTTACATCACATACATATATTACCCGTACACACACATACAGAATTTACTCGCCAAAATGCAGGGCACCATCAGTTCTGGATACGGATTGAGCATTTTTTCAATATGGATGACTGAGGTCATCTGCGAGCATAATGCTGTCACCTATCAGAATTTTTTCAAACTAATTTTCCGGAGAATATCATCTGGAATACAAGATTTCTAATTATTTCTAAATTATTCAATTTTACACTATGAATTGATTTTTTTAACATTCAGACAGATGGCAAGGACTGACGCAAACACGAATTTTGGGCGAAAAACGTATAAAAATGAAATAATTAGTGATTTTTCATCTGAATGATGTGGCCGCCATCTTGAAATTTAAGCGCGGCAAGTCAATTCATAATTTTTTCATTATTCTTTCTAATTTTTTTAATAAAAATATTCACTATATACAAAAAATTGTTGTTTACGTCAGTCCGGCATTAATTCCTCTGTAATTTGGTACCTAATTTTATAGAAATAATTGTAAATTGGCGAAGAAATTAGAAATTTCCCGATCCCATGTATTTGGATAGGGGGAA